CTTGTTCATATGAATATGTTATGCTGATGGCTTCTTTAATGTATGTGGCATCCCTGTACCTCTTTTCCTAAATATTAGATACCTACGTGACTTGTCCACGACTTCGATGTTGCGTTTTTTCAAAAGTTTTTGTCTTCGTACGTACATTATACATATAATTATGCAAAGTGCATGTAAAGTTTTTTTTTATTTATTTATTTTAATTATTTTAATGCACATAGTATTTTTACAAAATACAAATGTACAACCTTACAACCTTACAAGATTGATATTATTATACGTAGGAAAGATAATAAAAGTTATTTTTTATAATACGTAAGTTGATTACATTTGTCAGTTATTTATGTAACATACTGTTTAGTAAACCTAACTATTATTACGATTATACTAATTCCTACATGTTTTAACTAATAACAAGAGTATAGGTAAAGTAGGTATAACTTGTATAAGTGCACTCACCATTACAAATATATTCGAAATTATGCGTAGGCATTGACCATGATTGGGTACATATCATTATATTATCTAATGTATAAGTATTATTTAAGGGCTACCTACTACAACTACAGTATAGAGGTATCAAACTATGTATCTTAAAAATATGTTTTTTTAATTTCAAACTCTATACTTGAAAATCTCATGAAATCGCTTATTTATATTGAATAAATATTAAATGCCTATAAATAAACGTCTGGAGTTTTATTTGCACCGGTCTAATAATATTAACGATTTCAAGTGAAATATGAAATGATATAGTAATTCAGTCTATGAAAGATATTAGGTTGGGGTGTTCAATATCTTATTATAAATGTAATGAAAGACGTACTGAAAATTATTGGTTTATTTTCATTATTATCAAGAAGTAATTATATTTACAGTAGCCGTGTTTCAAATTTCAGGAAAGAATGGAAATGAAACCTTTTCCCGCAGGTTTAAGAAGAAAACGTCGATCTTTTGCCAGCAGTGACAAATGTTAAGATATTCATCAGCTCTGTGAAATGTATTTTATTATAATTATAATAATTATTATAATTTCCTTATAGTAAATTATTTAAGTAAATAAGTCAGAAAATACAAACTATATACCTACATTATTTTATGAAAAATATTAAATCAAATATAAAAGTTTAAAGGGAATATGATTCGCTTTACAATAAAATTATAAGCTCTCCTTAGATTTATAATCAAAATATAGATGAATTATTATTAATCAAATAAATAATTTTTGTTGAAATTATCAATAAACGAATAACAATGTTTATTAAATATTTGATTTTAACAATGAGTAAATATTGCATTTGTTTTTAAGGTTTTTATTTATTATTATATTACATTAACTTATCATGCTTGCCTAATTGCTTATAAATATTAGTGACTCAAAAACGATTTGTTATTATTGTTAACAAATAACAGGTATCAATAATTATACACATAAGAAACCTAGTCAAATGATTTGGTTTTTAGATAAATCAATTGAATAGATATTATAATAATATAACAAAATATTTTAATAATTATACATTAATACACACAATATACGTATGTAGTATAATGTATATTTTCATGGTTAATAATAATAACAATTATTTCATCGAACAAACATTTATAAAAAAAAACAGATTTAAAATTAAATTGTTATCATCAAATTATTTTAATGAAATCATTAAAACATTTAATGTTGATTTATCTAATATACGATTGAATTTTTAGCTAAGAGGACAAGTATAAAAATATACATGTGATTTATTATTATTTTTAAAGAAATGTATTAGTGCATTTTTACTTTGGTAATGTTATAACCAGCATATTAAACTGCTTAAGTTCCGTTTAAAAAATATAAACATAAATAATATTATATTATAATAAATGTACACACTATTCAGTATACTATCTATAATGTAATTTATCATTTAATTTAAAACCAACCTGTAAAAAGCATCCAAAGGATCATAAATGTATAAAATTAGCTTTCTAGTAAATTATTAAAATGTTTGATATTTGATGAACTTTATGACTTGAATTTAATGAGCAACAGTAAGTATGAGTATATTAAATAAGTCAAACTTTTACTATAGGTATTTGAGTATTTCTACTAAAATGTGTAATACTGTATACTTTATGATCTATACTGACCGCAAAGTGAACGCAAATTTTCCTGAAATGTAACATAATATTATTAATACATTGACGTGAAAAGTTCTTTCTTTATTTATTTATGTATTTGACAATCGCCGTTAAATATTTAAATTTTATTACGGTAATGAATGTATAAATGAAATAAAATAAAACTAAATTAACTAACTAAAAGATTGATAGGATACCTACGCAAATACCCGAGTACTCAAGTGTGCAAGTATAGGTATATGCTGCCACATTTAAATATTAAATAAAAAATAGAAATTGGTTGGAAGTAATTTAACGCATATTCATAAAATGTCAACTTCTAGAAAAGTTTTTGATTGGTAATATACAGTATTTACAATAATTAGTTTTTTAAACACCTTTAGAAAATCCATAAAACTCTGAAACACAAGCATTAGAAGTAGGTACCTACCACAGTAAGTTAGGACAAGAACTAACTTAACGCAACCTTGATTTTGAAAAATTATTCTATAAGTACAGATTATATAGGTATTTTATAATAAACATAATATTCAATTATTTAATACAAAATACATACTTCCATTTTTCATTATAGTTTAAACGACGCTATAGGTAGTCGATTTTGAATATACTGTTCTACCCAAATGTGGTTTATTTTTTACCATGTAAACTTATTTTTATGGACTTGATGGTACTTAACGTTTTTAATTAAATAATATTACATAATTAATGAGACTTTGAAGTTATAAGCTTTGTAATTATAGTACATAGTTCGTTTATAATTGAATAAAATGAAACTAGTAAAAATAAATACTAAGTGCAAATAATTTTCTGTGTATGATATATTTATTTTTTTTTTTATTCGTATAATATTATTAAATCAAAATATTTGATTATCCTGATTAAATGTTATTTTAATTCAACTTTGAACTAAATATAGTCTATATAGGTAACTGAATTGTGTTTATTAATCATATATACATATAAAAACACTAGTAAAAGCATATGTTCACTTTGGCGTTTTAAATAGAATTCATCAAAGTAATCTAGAGCGAATTGATTAAATGTTTTAATGTACATTATAATGTAATAAACAGACAGTGAATTACAAATGAGTCATATAGCCGATTGAATATTATGGATAATGTATTTAGGTATTGACGGTACCTATAGGTATGGATATATGAATAATAAATTGTTATTAGTATTTAGTTTTAGAAAAAAAAAAAATTTAAATTTAAAAGTGGGCCTCTATCGTAAAATATGGGTCCAAGAAGCGCCAACAAAATAAGTAATAACATTTGACCTTCAAATAAATATAGATTAAAAATTAAACGTGTATACAGGTACGTTATCGTAGTAATAATAATATCAATCAACCGGGTAAATACTAAATAGTAAATACCTAACAGTTTGCAACTTGTTTCGAAAAACTACTTGCAAACTATATAAAATATATGGAAAAATATTATAATATAAAATTAGTACGGTGTAAAAACCCCCAGACGACCGCGATGTCGACATCGTCGGCGAATCGACAAGTGTTCCGCCAGTCACGATTTGTACACGATCGAGCTACAGTCGCCGATGGAGTATGGACTCGTTTGACCAGCGCTGGATTGAGAATTTTTGGTTCATTCATAGATGAAGATTTGATAATTGATTGTTATTTATTATACACGAAAAGCAACGATATTTATTTTAAAAATAAAAGCTTTTATCTTAAGTTTAATCCACGATCATGACCGGCCCAAATTTTCTCGGTTCCAGCTCCTCGCCTATTCAATCCGGGCCTGACCATGACCATCTTACCCCGTGCACGATTCAAGCGACAGATCGAATGGCGATGCGATGTTTTGAAAACGGATAATAATATTAATGTCTGGTTAAAATAACGATTAGGTAAATGTTTGCAAATTTTTGTCATCGGGTTTTAAAATTTATAATTACCTATCTAAACAATATTAATTTTAATACACACATAAAATAGGTATATACGTTAGGTACCTATATAAGTAAGTGTACACAAATACACGTGCCATAGATGCACAGTGAAAATCATCACACAGTTTTATTTATTCTCTATTAATTATAATGTAGTCTATTCTTTACACCCTACGTACTCAATATTCATAATTTAAAATATTCTATGCAATTAATTTCACGAAAAATGTAGTTATTTTAATTCTCCTCTTCAGGATGTAATATTATCGGGAAACTTACAGCATAAAATTCATAACAAGCTATAATTATTCACTGTTATTTTAAACTGATCATACATTAATGTTAAAACATGCAATAAGAATTCTTTGGGAAAGTACCACCTATCTACCACCTAGGTCAGTGGATTCTATTTATTATTATGCAATGTGTATGTTTCTAATTAATAATTATCTTAATCTTCATTTTCTCGATTTTATAATTATCCATACCAATGATTCAGTTCCATCCCTATCAGCTGACAGCTGGACATTCTTCCTATACACCTGAACAACACATTTATTTTCCTAACTATTTGTTTTCTTCATCATCCTCCTATACTGCAAAGTGTCATGTTATTTTTGAAGCCATTTTATTCATCTCAAATTTTTAAATTAGTAATTGTTAGGTATGTCGAATCTATTAAATTTACAATGAATATTAAACTTTTTTTTTTTAGCAAATATGTGTAATGTGTATATAAATATATATATATATATTATAATAAATTTAAAATCCATTTTCTAAATGGCTCATAGAATAATTTTTAAACATACATTTTATAAACTCATATTATAAAACAAATTAGTTACTCATAAATATCATTAGGTATACTATAGTTTCAGAGGTAATAATAATAATAATAACAATGTTATTTAAAAACATTATTTATTTATTTTTATATCTTTTCAAATTATTATAATAGACGGAATCTTTTAACTATTTTTAATTAAATTATCAATAATTTGATTTATAACAGCATCATTACATAAAGAATCTAATAATCTATGACTAATATCAATATTTAAATCTGATTTTAAAAGACTTGGAGTATGGTTTTGTCTATGATATTCTGTATCAAGCTCCACTTTAGACAAACATTGGTCTGGTTCATAGATTTTATACTGATATTTTACTAGCAAAGTTGAATTTGTTTCTTCTAAATCTGTAGCATCTTCTTCAATTTTTATCTACACAAAAACAAAAATTAATATATGAAAACTTTGGACATAATTTTTTATATTACTATTTTAATGCTTTGGTCAATAAAATTAATTGATTCTTCAGTCATGGACGATGAAAATTTCTAAAAAATAACAATTTTTATTTTAAAATTATCCACATTTTAGTTAATAATTATTTTTCATAGTCATAATAATATTTATCAATTACTTCATTTGGATTTAATAATCTTAATTGAGTATTCTTAGACACACCAGAACATACACTGCTCACCATAAAACGAACCACAGACTCACTTAACCGAGCCATATTGTCATATTTAGGAATCTGTATCCAAGTATTAATACTAATAGCAGTAGTTAAATTTTCAACATAATGCCACCATTTATGTGGGACGATTAGTACATCACCTGGTGATAAAACCACTGTTACACATCTACAAGCATCATCAATATCTGTAACATGAAATATTTTATTTTAGAATTTTATGGGCTGAGCTCTTTTATACATTTTAACGTAAGAATAATAGGTGCATATGGTTAAAAAAAATATAAATTAAATTATTAAGAACAAAGATATAAATATAATGCAGAACACTTTGTTTTTCAGTGTGTCAAATAATTAACCTACCTTGAATATTGTCTGGACATGAAAAGTTAATTTTGCTATAACAGCTTGACTCTTCATAAGGGATTCTAGATGGTTTCAGATATTTTCCCATTTCAGGTGGCATTAAAACCCAACGTTTTCTGCCAAATAATTAAGCTTTAAATGACATAGTTATATTTAATACTTAACAAACATTTTAAAGTTAATCCCAAAAAAACTGGTTCTGCTCACTATGTGGTGTTCTATACTAGGAAACAATAATTGTTTGTATGAATGGAAATTATATGAAAGCAAAAGAAAGACTGTTACATGTAAATGACACCATAGCCATTTTATACTAATTGTCATAAAATTTTAATTTTGTTGGATCATGAAAAAAATTCACGTTTATTGAATGTGAAAACTTCCTGATAAATATTGTGTTTGTATTGATCAGTGACAAAACCACCCACCACCAGTTTGTTTGACATTGACTCCTTTAACACACAATTTAAAATATTCACTATTTTGTAATCATAAATAGAAATAATTTATAAGTAAATTAAATAACACCTTGCTTTAACTAAAAAAAAAAATTACATTTATTATTGTAATATTAATAATAATAACTTAATATTTATAATACTTATGTCATTTTTTTTTTTTAAGTTAAAGAAGATATTATTTATTGAATTTACATTAAAATATAAATGTAATATACTATCTTATGTTTATCTTATATTTTATTAATCAACTAACTTTCCGTGAACTTGAGCCACCAAATTTATACCATATAAGTCTTGATGACATGGTGTATGTGCACCAATACTTCCAATCCATAGAGTTGAATCTTTTGGACCTAAATTTTCATAACCAAACTTTTTCCATGATATTGACTAAAATAAAATTAACACATTTAATAACATTTTTTGAAAAATTAAAAATAACTAACTTTGAATATATTTTCATCAACTTTTTCTCCAATGTACTTATAATCAAAATATAACCAATGTCCACTTTTTTCGATATCATTTGACATGTTTATAATTTCACTAAATGAATGACTTTCATGCAAACACTTATTTTCCCATAAAGGTTCCTGTCAATAAATACATTTTAACATTTAATTTATGTCAAAATTATTATTAATATTTTAATTTACTTTAGTACACATAATTTTTCCTTTTCTACAGTCTAGTGACTGATTTTCAAACATACTGTTCCATTTATCTAAATTCCATTTAAATGGATCCCAATCATCTAACATATTATTAAAAACGATTGGAACTCGAGATGATTCAATAAAGTTTTTAATGTTATTCATAATTGAATCTGCAAAAAAAAAATAGAAATGTTGTTAATATAATTATTATTTCTTAGTAATTACACTAAAATGACACCAAGCATTTTCTATTAAAATTTAATACAAGAATAGTGAGATCCACTTATTATATATTATTTTTATTCAGTTTTAGAATAGTATTTAAAAATTACAACTAGTCTTATAAGCCTCATATTCTTAAAACCAAAAATTATAAGTTTATTTAGTTGATAGGGAATTGAAAATATTATTGTAAATTAAACAAACATTTTAGATAGTAAAAAATTAATCTAAACATGTTTATTCCTAATGGAGTAAAAAAAAAAAAGAATTTAGACACATTATGTATTTTTGTAATAATTTACATTACAACTGATTCGCTATAATTGCTATTAATTTATAAATCATAAAAGTTACCTACAAATGAAATCATAGAACAATGGAAATTATCATTTATAACCGTAATACAATATTACAAAGAGAAATAATTTAATATTCAAGATTAGTTTTGTAATTGTAGTAAGCTTATTAAGAATTGCATTTAATTTCAAAACTTTTTTTTATCTTATGTTTGAAAATTAATTAATTTGAGATTGTTAATTAATTGTTCAAAATTGTAATAAGGCAATTAATAAAATTGTTACCTAATTTTAATTGTATAGTTATTTTGTGACCAGAATGTTTAAATATTTCTTTACAGCAAAACAAGTAATAGTTCAAGGTATAAGTAACTAATTAACTAATATATAAAATGGACAATTCGACATTTCCAAAAAAAAAAAAAAAAAAAATGTACTATGAACGTCATTAATTGAATAAGAATGATGAATGCAATTGAATCCTTGTTAATATATGCCCACCATCTTATCATGTGGTCGGATACAAATACTAGAATAATTAGATAAAGAAAGGATATAATCAAGAGTAGAAGCATGAAATTCTATAACTCAAATTCTAAGGAAAATTAACTTACTTATAGGTACCTACTGACTGCAGATGTTTGTTAGTTACTTTTATAATATTCAATATAACCAAGTGTTTTTAATATCTTATTTTAACCAGAATTTCACATATTTTTTAAATTAAAACTTATTATAAAACTTAATTACTTATTTTAACTATAAAAATAAATTAAACTTTTACTAGTTGATGTGTAGTGATTAGGGCGAAATTAGCGCCAAGTATCAATAACCTATTAAATTAGATAGTCAATTCGTTGGTTTTACAATAAGTAACTATTAGTCAACTTCAGACCTATAAGTAAGAATACACAATTACACAGAAATCAAAAACTTGAAAAACAAAATATGAGATATTGGTGAATGAAAATCGCATCAGTTTTTAACTGATAACAAATGATATTTGAATTTGGACGGTAAATCAATTTAATTTTATATTTCTAATAACCGCGGATTTGCATAAGATACGTTTCATCTTTCATCATAATATAACATATTAATATTATTAAGTTCAATCTGTGATTCAATTAGAAGAAACATGGCTGATAGTTGTGTAAATATAGCAGCGAGAAGATCTTAGCTCGTGCAGTTATCTACTGAGTAACAGTACTATTTAGTATTTGTCATTTGTTGAATTCAGAATTATATGAAATACGAATTTAAGATAATTGATAATAATATCAGTACAAATGATTTCACTCCTTTAACAAGATTACGTAATAAAATTGGCTCTCAGATGCACCGAAAAATTATTGTTATGTTGGCACTCAGATTACTACTTGTTGCTACTGCCTGTCGCCTGACCCGGAGTAAATAGTAAATAGTAATAATTAACAATTTCAATTTGTGTAAGGTTTAACACGTAAACGGGTCGTAAGGGGTTAAAGACTTATTGAGTTGGTAAGAACTAAGAACAAAGCAATAAGTATTAAAGAAAAAATGATTAAAAATTAATCATATTTTTCATAATTTGTTCTCAAATGAAAAAAGATAAGTTCAAATGTTGCATCATGTTAGCCAATTATTTGTTAATATTTAATTGCATGTTTTGACTTCCAAATTAAATTTTATATGATTATGTTATTATAATGGAATTTGGAATTAACTCTTGACTCATAAACCACATAAAAATATGTTTGTTTAATAAATAACATTCTTTTAATTAACTGAAAAGTTATAATTTTATTTTAAGCAAATACAATAACAATAAAAATCAGAAAACATTTTAACATTATTAATGTATATAATGAAAAATAATTTGTCTTTTTTTTTCTTACTGTAATAATATCAAACTTTTAATAAATTAGGTATTGAAATAATCACAGTTTAATCTTTTTAATATATAATTTCCTACTCATTAAATACATTAAAAAGAGACTATTACAAAAATAAATAAGTTTTATTTTCCATCAAAGGTTATTTATTTGTGATTATATCATATTGTTTAATAGTCCAAAGAAAGCCTTTAAACCTATAACATTTTGATAATTTATTTTATGACAGTTAACAGTTTATAGTTAGTTAAAAAGTTAACATTATTCCTATTCAGTCATTTTTGTTCTCTTATGTACTTTCATAACTTTTTTTTAAAAATAAAATACATTGTACACTTAAATACATACTTATATTATAATTAAACATAAATATTTGATAAATAACTTTTGAACGCACAGGAATATAACAATTTATAAACATAAAATAAAGTTCATATTATTATCAACATTGTAAATTATAAATTTAACAATTTTAATAGTAATAAAATAACATACTGTATAAAAATGTATTACATGTAGATTGGCCAATGTAATGTATATATATATATTATGTATAAAAAATTAATAAAATATGTACGAGAAGTGTTAACTATTAAGTATTAATGTATAAGTTGTTAACAAGGCAAGTTTTTTGAGGCAGAAAATATATTTTTGACTAATGTATAATTAATGTCATGGAAATGTCTTTACTAATATCATATTGTTGTTAATTATTTTTAAAAACAAGTAAAAAATTGTGAAGTACACAAATTCATTTAAAATTGGTTTTAAAACATACAGTGATGTGGACAACATTTAATTAAGTATTTAATAGTAACAACTAACAAGGATTATATTATATTGTAATACAATAATAATTACTGTTTTAATTATAGAACAACTATCAATAAATAATCAAATTAGGATTATGATAATCAATTAAAAATATATGATGTGAACCTAACATTAAATAAGTCATACTATTAGATTAAGCAATTACAATTAGTAATTACATAAATCTAAATAAACATTATAATAAAATATAAATGATTTAAATAAATTGCACATTTTAACAGACTTTAGAACTAACACTAGAATCTTATAACTGATTTAAATTTATTTCATGTTACTAATATTAAATAAACAAACAAACAAATAAAAGCTCAGTTTCTAGAATTATCACAGAAGAAAAATCATAAGTTGTAAATTATAGTAAATGTATATTTTGGACTTGGGTATATATCACATATTTTTCTTATATTACCCAATTCCAGCACCTGTATTTACATATCACAGCAATGGATTACCCTGGATATTCAAGAGTGGCCACTTAAAATATATTATATAATATAAAAATTTGTTTATACTTAACCTCAAAATGTTACAATAGTCATGGGCAGGCAGTTTTAACAAGTCTTATAGAAAATTACTTAAGTAATTTTAATTAGTGTAAACACAAGTATTATAACTAAATTTTAAAATTATAATATAAAGGATACTATAAATGCAGTCATTAATGTAAAATATAATAAAATTACTAGTCAAAAAAACTAGAAGCTTACGTTTAGTAAGTATAATTCAGTTCTTTAAATAAAAAAATTCTGGTTTTATATTTGATTAATAAAAAAAATTTGGTTGAACTGCGGAATTATGAATGTAACTGTAAAATAATGTTTAAATATGAAATTTTTCTTACTTCTATGTAAATATAAATTATATATCTAAAAATATATGTTTATTTTAAATGTAAAAATATTTTTATGTTATTAAAATTGAATTGAAGGTACTTATTTTATTTATTTATTCTATGTGTTGGCAGTTGGATGTATGCGTTTTGTATGTCGCATTAGTGATGATTTCTGTGTGAACTCAATACCACATTCTTCACACTTTAGTCGTTCACCAGTGTGGATTAGTTCATGTTTCTTAACTATTGCTTTGGCCCCATAAGTTTTACCACAAAAACGACATGCGTATGATTTTTCGCCTCCATTCATCCTGACTTGTATGATATCTTCCTGATGATCACCATGCATAGCCTCCATATGTATATCCAATGATTCTTTAGTGGTGAATACAGCCTCACACTGTTCACATGCCAATTTATCTTTATGTTCAGCTGCATGCAATTGCAATGTGTTAAGATCGTCAAATGACTTGTTACAAGCTGTACACTTGTATTGAGCCACCTCTGAGTGAAGCTTAGCATGTCTCTGCAATAATGTAAATCGATTGAATTCGCGACCACAAATAGAACAAGCACAGTTGTATTCGTCTGAGTGACTTTTCATGTGTAGTGCAAGACTGCAATTACGATAAAATTTTCGTCCACATAAATTACATTCACATGTTTTTTCAATAGTGTGAAAGGCAACAGTGTGTTGCCAGAGAGCACCACGATTACTAAATTTATTTGGACAATATTCACATGAAAACGGAAAAAGAATTTCTGGTTGTTTTGTTTCTGAATTCCAGGGTTCTACAGGTTTTGGAATGTCTTCATCGTCGGAATAAACAGCTTCAACGCTTGTCATCATGTCGCGAATATCTACTTCGGGTACTTCATTCTCTGTAGCTTTTAACTATATCACAAAATAAAATATAAAATACAAATCTGATATTACACTAAACATTATTGATTCAAACTAATATATATATAAAACTTTATACAATTTTTACAAATTTATTCTATTATTTTAGTGTAAATAACAATTTCATACATTTTTACAACATACAATCAATCATCAACTATAATAATTTAATATTTGTACAAGGGGTTGAAAAGGCACGTCTCCACTTCCTAGTATTATACAATATTTTACCTGTTTTTCAACTGCAAATTTGTTTTGATAATTTGTTAAGTTACGGTTTCTAATAGTTAAACTTTTTTCATTGTGATGTCTGTAAAAAATAAAATTAAAACAAGTATAATTAAAGAATATTCAAAAAGTTTTAGGTATTCTAAAGTAAAAAGTTTATATTTTTATAACCTAATCTACAAAGTTATAAATATTTAATATTATCTACCAAAGTATATATATATATATATATATATTACTTATTATATAACAAATTAACGACATAATAATTTTATAGTATAAAATATTAACCTTAGTATTTTTCATAATAATTAACTATGTTTCAAGATAGAAACAGAACAATTTAATTTTTAGACAATTTAATGTCTTATCAGCAAATCATACTTGTTTTATAAATGAACAGCATTATTATTTAGCATTCAACAAATTTTGTGATGTTAGGATAAAATATTAGAATAAATTGTTCTTTTATTTAACTTAATCGTAAGAGTATTCTTTCTGTTTTCTCATTGAATTTTTAAATTTTAATTTTTAACCACATTATAAGTATATAAAATAAAAACATTGCTCATAACTTGCTTAAAAATTAAAATATTGTAAAAAACCTAAACTTTATTATTTTATTCAAACTAATAACATAAAAATGAAACTGTTCAATGTTAATTTTCAATTATACATGTATCAATGGGTGTGATACTCTTTTAATTCATCATCACTAAAGCTAATCATTTCATGATTAAGAATAAGAATATTTTCTCCAATGAACTGATAAAATGTAGAGAAAATCATATCCTATTATAAACATTATTGGTCATGCTATTTTTGGATTTATAAATAGGGAATTTGAACTTATGAAATTTCATAAAATAACTAAAATAGGTTCTTAAACCATTTTTTAAATTAAAACATATAACATGTTGTACAAGATTTAGATATTAAAAATGTTTCAAAAGCTCAACTTACATAGAATTTTTGTTAGGTTTATTTGCAATTTCTATGGTACACTCAGCTAATAGTGTAGCTGGCAATTTGATTGGAAAATCATTTGCTGTAAATAAATCCTTGCGTTTGGAATGTCCATTTTCTAACTTGACTTGCCTGAATCCAAATAAACACAATTCACTGATAATTGAACGTTTTTGATGTAATCATTTAACTTACTTGAAATTGGAATTTGTATATATAGGAATTATTGTGGTTTCAGATTCCAATGCTCGTTTCATTGATTTTGACATTGACGAAATTGTCGCCATGGTTTGGTTTTTTTTATTACCATTGGAATCGTTAATTATAACGTTAAACAATTGTGATGGCTTCATACCCCGTTCATTATTATTTTCTGTTTTGACATTAGACGTCATTACAATAATAATTTGAATCGAAGAAAAAAACGCTATCAAACTCAGCGAAGAATTTATTGCAATAATCTATGTACTAGACAATCCAGATTACGGCTGGAACGAGACACGTTGAAAGAATTTGAATTTAAAAATTTTAAACACTACACGATGAAACTTATTAAGTTAATGTGATAATCGAAGTCTTATTAGTTTAGTTAACGTAGTTCGGTAAAGGTAATTTACAATAAAAGAATGTAAAAGTAATCTTTTGTACTTTAATCAGGTGAGTTCACATTTTTGTCCACATATACAAAACCAGAAATGCTACATTCTGAGAAAAAACTAAAAAGTAACCAAAAAAAAAAAATGAACCACTTGATTGATAAAAAATAATTGTATATTGTACATTTATACGATTAATACATTAAAAATAAAAGTAACGGGATTTTGTCAGCTGTTTGCTTAGAAATTAGATATTAGATGTTACATAATATTATTGACTTGCTCTATATTATGGACTGATAAAAATAAATAAATTTTGATTTTTGATAAGAATTAATTTTAAATTTTAATTTGCGTTCGTCCAAATGTTATACTAATCTAAATTTATAGTATTTGGTTTGGTTTGAAGTCTTAAATTTTATTAGTTAAAAATTTAAATATTATAATAACACTATGTATATAAAGAATATAAAGTGAAATTCACGAAATTTCTAAGTTTTTACTATTTTCAAACAGTTACTAGTAGGAATATGGAACGGAAAACACCGGAACTACGACCAGCAATTAATGAATACTTTAAGGATCCATCGCCATCATCTAACTTGTTCGATAATATATCTTCTCACGCTTCAGCTGACAGCAAACGAGAAGAACCAGCCGTTTGTCGTATATTCCAGCAAATTGAAACCAAAAAAACAGATATATTTGACATCATCAAACCTCCAGAGAACAATCATAATAATAGTCCAGCATTTGATGTCCAAGAATGTTAGTATCACTTTTTATTATAATTAAATAATTGTGCCTGCCTATAATAATGGTTACATTATATAAAATTTCAAAATCAATAATATTACTAACTACTATAACATTTTTGTTTTTTATATATACTAAAAAAATAAAAATTATACTCATTGACATGTAAATAACCTTCAAATAATTGTTGGCTATGCTTTGACTTGCCAGTAAAACTGGTTTCAATGACAGGGTGTCGCATGAGGATTTTCAGAAGAATTCATTTTTGCCAGGCTTAGGTATGTTCTTTCATTGAACAGAGTATAGATTAGGTATCCAGTTAATTTTATTATTAGACTTATCTAATACATTTAACTAACATTAGTCTTTATATTAAGGTTAACATAATAATTATCTTGAAATTTATATTTTTCAGCCACATTCTTAAATACTGGAAATGACAGTGTTGATCTTACGAATATATTCAATCATGAATATGAATTATCATCAATTCCAGCTGAAGATGAAAGGCGACGATTTGCTTGGATACCATCTTTGAAAACAAAAAATACACTTGAAAAGGCTTCACAAATGAATCATACATTACCCAGAGACATGTTAACTATGCCTGGTGTTGAAAATGTTAATTTTGTATGTAAATATAATACTAATAATTACATTTTATGTACTAATTGTGATATTGATTTATTTCTAACTCTTACGTAGACAATTAAATTATATGAAAATCTAGTGTCATATCTTGGCGAAACTGAGGCAGCTGCATTTAAAAATAAAACTATTGAAGAAGTTACTCAAGATGAACAAGGATTGAAATTATTGATTGAAGATAGCAACTTCTCTGAAGCATTAAACTTGACAACTCGATTGTTGGGGATGTATGGTCAAGGTCCTGGACAAATGGGTTATCCAAGTAAACATACAAAAAATTCACTTCAAGTAATGTCCATCCTTTTTTTATTTTGTATAGTATTTAATAATAGCAATAACATTTTAGTTGTGGCTCACAAGATTTGCACTGTTAGTGAAAATTAGTGCATGGAAAATTATTAGCAAAGAAGCATTAGCCTGGGATGACTTAGATCGTCCAGATCTCTACATGCAATGGTATAAGGATCTATATGGTAACAAATCTGGGACACTTGTGCCATTTAGTTTTAGACTCTTACTTGCTGAGCTACCTCAATATGTGATTTCATCAACCAATGTTTATAGTAAATTATTTGAAGTACTTGTTGGTGTTAAAAAAGTATGCATTTGAACAGTAATATTTTCTTTCATTGTATTTGATGTTAAGTATTTACTTTATTATTTTTATTTTTTATTTAGATCATATCAAATTTGGATAATGGTCTTACTGAAGATGGTAAAAATGTAGAATTGACAATTCAAGACCGAAACACTTCAAAATTACTTTGGTACTCAAGAGAAGCCAGAGTTATACATTCAATTATTAACTGTGCTGTAAACCAAAAGGTAAAAAAAAATAATTACAATTTGAATTGATAAAAAAATTAATTTTTATTTTTTAGGATTTTAAGCTTGCAATTAAATTATTAAAAGATCTCATTGAAACTCCTCGATTGAAATACACTACTGAACACTCTCGGTCACTCTTATCTGCAATTGGTCGTATTTGTTTACAAGTTGGTGATCTCAAAGCTCATGGGTATTTTCTCAAATCATCTCAACTAAAATTTCAATTACAGTAAGTATCTTTGTATGGTTAGATTAACTAAATTGTATATACTTTTTTGTCACTTAATTATGTGATAATTTTACTATATTACTTAATTTTTCATATATTATGTATAGAGAAACTACGGGTGAAAATAAACCTGATTACCGTGAATTAATAGATGCTGCTTTATTGGCTATCGCTCAAAATAATTACAAAGAAGCGTATAAACATTTTGAAAATGCATACTTAATGGATTCAAATAAAGTCATGGTAATAAATAATTGTGTAATTCATAATTTATTGAGCATTAATTTTTTAGATATAAGTAAAAAAATAAAATACTTTTGTGCATCTGTTACAGGCTTTAAATAACATGGCTACATGTTTATTTTATGAAGGCCAACTAAATAATGCCATAACACTGTTGGAAGACGCTATACAGAGATTTCCAGATTTGGCATTAAATGAGAGTTTACTATCCAATATATGTTGTTTTTACCAGTTTCAAAATTCTGCATCTAATAAACAAAGATTACTTAAGTATCATATTATTTCAAAATATAAAAACAGTGTCCCCGATATTATTAATTAAGTTATAATTTTATTTATGTTTTTCAAAAAAAAAAATCTGTTATTTATTATAAATATTTTATTGATTTTAATTTAATATTTTATTTGTTTATGATTATAATTCGACTCGTTTTTATTTTATTATTACATTTTTGTTTTGAAAAAAGATAATTTATTCTTTAAAATCATTATATTATGATAATATTACAATAATTGAATGTTTTGATTTATTAAACCCTACTACGTGGTAATTTGTGTGCTTTAATTAGGAAAGGATAGAACATTTCTACCACAGATTATGTAATCTGTACTTCTACTTTTTGTATATTTCTTTTGAGTACCTCTTGTAATTATTTTAATTAGAACTGGGGAACAGTACATTATTTACTTCAAAATTTTTAACACTTCTACTTTGAATTATATTTGTTATGTCTATTTTACGAAATTGTACTAAATAAGATCTTTAAATTAAATTCAAAAAAATATATTCTTTTAATTTTAATTTTTATAAATAAATAATATAATTTTAATAAAACATTCTATAAAGATTTTTAGTTCTTATACTTTTAATTAATGACTTTTTTATATAAATGTTGATAAAAAAATTTTAAATGGGTAAAAATGTTTGAAATTTAAAACAAGGTTTCTTTATAATTTGTTCATTTACCAATATAAAATATTAAAAATTTATGGTCACAGTAATTTTTTATAAGCATTTAAGTAGAAATTTTAACAACATTTTTTGCCGAAAAAAAATATCAACATATCATAATATTAATAGTAAATTTAATTCATTCATAGCTATTATGTCAAAAAACGTATGAAGTATACTTAGTGATATAGGCTGACAGATCGTCTCCACTCGGAATCGTTTTTAGTTTATAACGATGAATCATTGATTTAAAATTTAATAGATCCATTACAGACTACAGCTAATAACTCACTCGATACCTAATGTACCTACAACAGAACGGTATAAATATGCCAACCTTTTAAGTTTTGATGAGAGGTAAGCAAAAGTGTGCATATTGACATCACCTAACAAGTAACAGTTCCTTATCCTATAACTTGCTTATTTGATATTATAACATTAATTTGAACACTTTCGAAAAATTTTTTTTTTTTAAATATTCGAAAATGTTTTCAATTTTGATTTTGATACATAACCACTCACTACTCAATACTCATACGTAATAAACCATAAAGTATATGTTATTGTCACTCGGAGCACTCAATTTGTTATAATTTCAAACTTCAAGGAAATTCGTAAATGTTTTTTATCAAAAACGTAGATATATAAATAATTGTATAATATATTAATATTTAATATTTATATATACCTACTTGGATTTAATTTTAAGATTATTCTTGTTAAAGAATTATCGAGTATTTGTTTTTAAAATAGAAATCTTTGAAAAACTGAATAACTCCAAATTCAGAATCAATATAGTATACTTAATTATTATTTTATAATAATATATAATATATATTGTATAGGTACCTAAGTGAATATACCGCTAATAAGCGTGATACACGTTTTTCGCGTGAAGGGTACCTACCTATCTATAACTATAATATTATTGATGTTGTAGATCAGACCGATCCGGGCTCGGGCCCACCTCTACTGATACAGTGCATTTTGTCGCCAGAATGCGTTGCGCCTTGGTGGGTGGTGGTGAGTCGGAGATGGCGCGAAGAGATCGGTCGCCCGCTTTTCATCGATCCGCGCCGCCGCCCGGCTGCCAACCCCTTCCCGCGGCCAACCCGCGCTAGGTTTTCCAATCGTTTCCGCTCTGCGCCGCGAGGACACACGGCTCGTGTATTTTTATTTTCCCCCCCGTTAAGTTATATCCTACACCGTTTTCATCTTAATTTTGATTTTTCGGTTTTTCGTTTTTCACCAACGAGCGCGTCGCAGCACCGTCATCCCATTTCACCGGCCGATCAGGAAAAATATGCGTACAGTGACGACAGCGGTGGCGGCGACCACTATTACATCGGCATTGGAAACGCTGGCAGCGGCGGTGGCGTTGGCTGCAGTAATGACATCGTTTTAATAACAATAATACACACATAACCCACTCGGCTGTACATAATAATAATTATTTATCAACAATTTCCGTTGACAAATAAAATCGAATTTTCTCCTCTTATTGTCTCTCTTTCCGCTCTCGTCGACTCTTCGACTGCAGGCGCCGACGGCATCATAATATATAACTAATACACGCGCGAATTTTTGCACTGCATAATATTATTAGGGCCGTGCAGGCAACAGTGCGCGCAAGTGCAGCACGTATTATTGGTGCAGCGACTGCAGTCGTCGCGTACTGGTAGGTGGCCGCCACCGCAGCTGCAGCGGTTGTCGATGGCCAATTTCGGTCGGTTTACGCCGCGTCGAGCCGCCATGAACGTGGTGTGGGCCGCCGTCAAGGTGCGCCGAGGAGCCGTGCGTGGCCGATCATGAAACGCCGCGGCGACGGCGGCGGACGGCTCGTCGTCCGCCGGAACCGGCGCCGGACGGCGGGATGCCGAGCGGAACGGTTGCAGGGCGGCGGCAAACGGACACGAACTCGTTCCTACCACGTCGAACCCGGCCGGCGGCGTGGAGAAACGCGACGGCGGCGTGGACCACGGCGTCCCAAGAGGACGCCGCGCGAGCGAGCGACGACGGTCGTCGACGAGACCTCGTCGGGCGGCGGAGAGTTTGGCCGCGGCCGGCACAAGATCGACGAATGGCAAGCGGCGTGGAACGTCACCAACGCCATACAGGTATCTATATGTTACACCGAGACGTCAACGATGATTACGATTGGTGAATAATTGCTGCAGTTTAGGATCGTACTATAATATTGCGTGTACAATGTAGACCGCGAATAGGGGTTGCTGGCCGGGTCGTCTCCAAGTCCTGGAGATTGTAATAGACAGCGTTTTTGAGTACGATATAATAGTAATATTTTGAATTTTTTAATTAATTTTTATATTAGGTACATCATACAGTGCAGTGATCACGTTAAGTGGAAACACTCAATAATTGTATGTCGCTGGCTTCATATACTTCAATTATGTTTTTTTGGCTAACTTATAAACATTATTTATACATATTTTCAAATAATTAGACTATTTTTGTGACAGTTAATTTTTAAATGACATGACCTATTTTTGAACACAAATTATTATTTTTTGTACTTTTTAATGAATTTCAAAGGTTGAATTTATTTTCCAAGTTAAAGAATGACCTAGTTATAGCAATTTGATTTCATGTTATTTACCCGGGTATAACAGATTATAAAATACGTACCTAGTCAATAATAATTAATAGGAAATAATAGAAATAACTAATCCAATCTTGAAATACCTGTTTACCTATTGTGCTTATCTTTATTATAATTATCTCAATTAATTTATTATAATTTATAAACAATATCATACGGACATAGGTACTTAAGACGTTGAGAAGACGTAGTACCCGCGTGTGTTGTCTCCGTCTTACACACGTACGACATCGTAAATTTTCGTTCCCAGTTTCAATAGTGTGCTTTTAGTTTTGATGTTTAAGTGAATTGACGTATAATCAATATTATTATCAAACAAGGAAATGCTATCGGAGAAGATATTGAGGTGTAAATACTAGCTTGTTAGTAGAGAAATAAAATGTCATATGGAATAGTTCAAAATTTTTTTTAAAAAACTATAAAATGCACGTTTATTGTTCTGATTTAGTAAACATTTACGTGAAGGTGATAATGGTGAGCGTAGAATTACGTTCATTGCTTGATTAGAAACGTAGTTGATAGCTAATCCTTATGTTTTAAGTTATATTCTTTGGACAGACGAGTTTAAGTTTACAAATAATGGAGTTTTAAATAGACAGAATCATCGGTATTGGGATAACAAAAATCCTCATTGGATATTTGAGACCAAAAATCAAACTGTGTGAGGAATAATTAATGTATGGTGTATTGGTGTTGTTAAATAAATGGTAAGACGATGTAACGATTTCTCACTAAATGAACTTCTAAATATGTTAGGTGACCTTTCATTAGACATAAGAGTATTCCAACAAGACGGAGTTTCAGCCCACAATGTAAATATTGTTCACAAGTACCTCAATGAATATTTTCCAAATCGGTGGATAAGGACTTATGAAGCAGTTTAGTGGCCTCCAAAGTTACCAGATCTTACACTACTAGATTATTTTCTCTGCGGTCACTTGAAAACGGTAGTGTATGCCAATCCACCTATATGTCTTCTTGATTTTAAACATAAAATAATTGAAGCATATAAATAAATTACAGAAAAACAAATTATTTCAGCTATAAATCGAGAATTTTTAATTCGTGTTATATATTGTTCACAGCACCATGGTACACAGTTCGAATAATTAGTTTGATAAATAAAACTTTTACGAATAAAAAATTAAAGTTTGTATTTTTATTTTTATTATTGAGTATTTGTTATTATTGACTACGTATTTTATAATCTGTAAAACTCGTACAAATATCATAAAATCAAATTGTTATAACACGGCCAATTTTTAACTTAGAAAATAAACTCAACCACTAAAATTCATTAAAAAATAACAATTTGTGGTCAAAAATAGGTCATGCCATTAAAAAAAAAAGTTATTGTGCACATGTGCAAAATTAACTGTCACGAGAATAGTCTAATATTTGAAAATGTGTATATAATGTTTATAAATTAGCCAAAAAAGCAGAATTGAAATATATGAAGTCTGTACATAGTTATTGAATGTTTCCATTTATCGTAATCACACTGAAGGGATATATAAACAAAATATATTTATAATAAAAACGAGTGTTAGTCCCTAAAATCTGACACAAGATTTCATTTCGAAGTTAAGGCTTCAAGTTTTGATGTTGAAAATTCACCTTAATTTCTTCTATATATCTCGAATTGTTTTTCTTATAGAACATAAATTCTTAAAAAAAACAAACCATAGTTATTAAATCATTATAATTATATAGGGGTACGACCAGACCTCGAAATATGACGATCTAATAACGAAATAATGTGGTTTTTTTCTCGTCATTCGTCAATCATTTTTCGAGATAGCAAAATGGCTCGAAAAAATGTCAACGGGGTATATCTGTAGATTATAAAATATAAATTTAACTTGAAATTCCATTACTATTTATCAAAAATAATTCTTTCATATTAAACGATGATAAAACATAATTTAAATCAACGTATTGAGCTATTAACCTATTAAAGGGGCTATATGAACAATTTATTTAAAAATTCAATAGGTATAATTTGAAAGTACAGACTATTAGCACCAAGTTCTAAAAGTAAGAGAGAGGTACTATGATGATATGTAGTTATTTATCAAAAGCGTAAGAGAAAGTTTATTTGAAATTATATGCTGTAAAATCTATAGTCGAATAGGTATCAAAGTACTAAACATAAAGATTAAAGAAGCTTTTATGAAATTTTATATAGTGTATAGTAAATATTATAAAATTTTATAGTATATTCTTATTTCTTTTTTTATACTCGTATAAGCAATACGAATAAAAATATATTTGTTTTCTTTATATACCCTTATAAATGTTTTAGCTGTTATAATTTTTTTATTTTGGTATCTTTAATGTACAATATTATAATATAGTGATTAGTAATTATTTACTAATCATTTTAATTTCTCGTTTTTCTCTTAGAAGTTATGACTTATAAAATATTTAAATATGATATAAATTATAAATGGTTAAGACCGATAAAAACATTATTTTAGGTGAATCAACGAGCTACACCGTGACCAAATTTCATGATCAGTAATTAAGTGAGTTCGGATAATAAATAACATTAACATGCACTATGTAAATATAGTCAACACCTATTTTATCATTATATTATGCACTATTTTTCAACAAAGTTATAATCACAGTATATTTTTTAACCGCACTATTTTTTTTTTTTTTTTTTACTTTTGAGTTAAATAGCACGTGATTAATAATTATTATGTATTTTTGTAATATATAATTAAATGTATTCTTAATTATTCTTTTATTAAAACAGTATACTTGAAACACGCTGGTTACACACCTTCGTAAATATATATATTTGTTTATCAAATAAGTTTTCAAATGGCGTTGGTGGGTAAGTTGTGAATTTAATGATATTTTGAAACTGCTGTTAGCTAAATGTGTGACACGAAAAACAACATAGGAAGTGTAAAAATCGAATAAATCTTCTAAAACTTTTGTCTTTTGGCGTAAAACTTTATACGATAACGGTGTGGAAAATTTAATTTTGTTTTGGGAGACTTAGTGGGTTGACGATCAGTTTTTGAAAATATTAGTACGTTACTTATTGTGTATAAACTTTATAATTAGAGAATACAGTTGTTATTCTAATTTGATGTAACGTCAAAATACAAATTTAGATTTACAGTAAAACTTGTCCTGTGCGGAATTGCACGGGACCGATAAAAATTTCCGTTTTAAGTAGGTTTCCATATAACTAAATAAAAATAAAAGTTTCGTACTATAGAGTTACAATATTCTGCATGATTAAGATTTTAGCTTATAACATTTTCCGGCGAATAATGAAAATTAAAATGTTGAATACTAATAAATATCATAGACTATAGTAAATTTTAATTTTTAATAAATAATTACATAATATGTATTAATTATATATTTCAAAATAATGATAAATTTCAATTCCAAAATTTGAAGAACATAATTTAGTAGGTATTAATCAAATAATAATATAATAAAATATAGTAAGCAGATTAAAATATAATTAAAAATTCCAAAATTCGTATGAAGTTTTGTCCAGTTTTTTCTTTACAATTAACTGCAACTTTAATTTTTTCATTTAAACTTAAACAACCCTTTGAAGACATTGTGAAAACAAGTAGGACAAGACAAAAGACAGAAAAACTAGGACTATACGGCGTGACAATAATGAGCATTGATGATATAGATTCAAAATAAAATATAGTTATCTATCGGCACATATTAATATTGCTAACCTTAATAATAATTGTTTAATAACAAAATAAATGTGGGTATCCAAAATAATTTTGTTCGTTTTATGATATGTTTTTCCGTTTGTTAAAGGTATTTATGATTTACGGGACCAAAAAAAGCTTTCAGTTTTATGTTAAACAGGTTCCGTTTTATTAAAGATTTAATGTTTAATCCTATGTTAAATTATAGAAATCTGCCGGGACCTTAATAAATCTCGCACGGAACAGGATTCCGTCTTAACAATATCCGTATAAGGCAGGTTTTACTGTATAACATTTATAAACATTTATCAAAATGTTACACGATATATAAATAATAAGTTCTCGAGTGGTTCTATATTGTAACGTTACGGAATTTTTTTGTCTGCAAAATTAACTATACTTATACATCTATACAGTAAATGATGGCTCAAATTAAAGAAATGCACGAGGCATGGAACATATTTTGTGTTGCTGAAGTCGAAGGAACAAGAGAGATATAGAAAATGATTGAGAGAGGTCTGCTATAGGAAAATGTTGATCACGCTTTAGTATATCCAGTATTCATAAATTAATGATACGTAACTTAATTACTAAATCAAAACTGAAATTTGGGAAGGGGGGATTCAAATGGTAGGTAAAATTGTGGAAAAAATCAATGTACGTATATTACAAGGCGTATTTTAAAGGGATGTATTATTTTTAGTATGAGTATGGCCAAACCCAGAACAAATTTTCGAAGGAGGGGGTTTAAAAATCTTAATAATTGGTGTTATAAATGCTTTAAAGCAATTAAAAATGATATATATTTTAAGCTCCCGTAGATAAATTAATATGATTTAATAATAAGTATTTAAATACGCATAATACATAATAAAAAATAAAATTCAGTTTTATAGTACAAATTCTAAATTTCTACATTTTTCTTTAGAAAAACGGTTGATTACTTCATCAGGATCGACATGATTATTTTTATATTAGCTAAGTAATGCTAAACCGGAGTCTATCTTCAGCAGTAGCGTTTCGCAAATGATTCTTAATTTTTTTTAGAGAAGAAAATATCCTTTCGGGCGTTGCGATTGATACCGGCAAAGTAATCTAAACTGCATAATAAAAATGAAATGTTAGGGAATACAATTTTTGGCTACAGTTAGAATATGCTTCAAGTACTTCACTATATAATATACCTATTGCAATTGTTTGAGCTAAATGTTATATATTTATTAATATTATATAAATAATAAAATATTTTTTTTTTCACTGAAAACAATCGAATACGTACTTTTTGCACAATTATGCTAAAGAAACGTAGTACTGCATCACAATTTTTTGATTTTTAAACTCGTCGTCGTGCACTAGCTCGTACGCGGGACGGATTTGTATATTATTATAGCTCACGCGGTCTGCTATAAACCGTAAGCCGGGGGCTTTACGCGGAAAAGCTCGTAACTCTTACAATTTTATTATTCTATTATTTTCGAGCACTACAATAATACCTAGTGACGATAAATAATAATATTATTTTATGTACACCTATATAATAATAATAATAATAACAACACTGTGCACTGCTTGCGATTACTGACCATCACATAACATCGACGGCAGTCCGGCGACGGACCCGCCTAGCTGATCAGCTTAGATTTTTTTTTTCTAATAATATGTTGACGTTGACCCGCACAGGGAATGTTCGTGGTGTCCCTGCCGTTCGCCGTGCTGCGTGGCGGTTACTGGGCGATCGTGGCCATGGTCGGGATCGCGTACATATGCTGTTACACGGGCAAGATACTGGTGGAGTGCCTTTACGAACTCGACCTGAACACGGGCCAGCGGGTCCGGGTCCGGGACTCGTACGTGTCGATCGCCCGGGAGTGTTTCGGGCCGGTGTGGGGCGCCCGGGCCGTGAACGTGGCCCAGATGATCGAGCTGCTGATGACGTGCATACTGTACGTGGTGGCGTGCGGCGACCTGATGGAGGGCACGTTCCCGGACGGCGTGATCGACACGCGCAGCTGGATGATGATCACGGGCGTGCTGCTCATACCGCTCGGGTTCCTCAAGCACCTGCACCACGTGTCGCTGCTCAGCTTCTGGTGCACCATGTCGCACATACTCATCAACATCATCATACTGGGCTACTGCGTGCTGGAGCTGCCCGACTGGGGCTGGAGCAAGGTGAAGTGGACGATCGACGTGGAGAACTTCCCCATATCGTTGGGCATGATCGTGTTCAGTTACACGTCGCAGATATTCTTGCCCACGCTCGAGGGCAACCTGTCCGACCGGTCAAAGTTCGACTGGATGCTGGAGTGGAGCCACATCGCGGCCGCCATATTCAAGTCGCTGTTCGGTTACGTGTGCTTCCTGACGTTCCAGAACGACACGCAACAGGTGATCACCAACAACCTGCACTCGCCCGCGTTCAAGGGCCTGGTAAACGTGTTCCTGGTGGTCAAGGTGCTGCTGTCGTACCCGCTGCCGTACTACGCGGCGTGCGACATACTCGAGAAGTCCTTCTTCATCGGGCCGCCCGCCACGCCGTACCCGAGCATCTGGCACGTGGACGGCGAGCTCAAGGTCTGGGGCTTGGCGTTCCGCGTGGCCATCATCCTGTGCACCGTGTTCATGGCCATATCGATACCGCACTTCGCCATACTGATGGGCTTCATCGGCAGCTTCACCGGCACCATGCTGTCGTTCATATGGCCGTGTTACTTCCACCTCAAGCTTAAGGGCGACTCGCTCGAGTGGCGCACCATAATGTTCAACTGCTTCGTCATATTCCTCGGCTGCCTGTTCGGCGTCATCGGCGTCTACGACTCCGGCACGGCCATCATCAAAGCGTTCCAGATAGGGTTGCCGTTCTAATGGCGACCTAGTCGTCCGGCATTCGCGTCCCCGCCAGCGACCGACGCACTTCCGCTTCCTTCGCACGACCTATACCATTCGTCATGTTCCCATCGTCCTGTATACGGTATACATCGCCCACTATATCTTTATCCACCGCGCCCGCTTGATCCGATCTATTTATTATTATTATTATTATTATTATTGTTTTTATAAGTGCTGACGTCTACTACGAATCTTGCAGTTTTTTTAAACTGCGACGGGCACTATATTATATTTACAAATAATAGGAAAACAGTTACCCACTTCGTTGACTCCAAAAACCGCACACTTTTGATAAATAACAGGACAAAACCGCACACTTTTGGTAGGTTAAAACCGCACACATTTTAAAAATTGTCGTATCCAAAAAACCGCACAGTTAAGATTTTGACGACCCCAAAAAGGTCGATAAACAAAAAACGCGTATTATTATGTATAATTAATTATTTGTTCTCATTATTTTCATAGTTCATCAAAAAATATGTATGTATTTAAAAATTTTAAATATTAATTTAAAAAAAATGTCAACTTAAAAATGTATATATTCAATAATTTAAAATATTAATTAAAAAAAAAAAATGTATAGGTATTTAAAAAATTTAAAAAAATTTAAAACTTTCAAAGTTTGATTGGCTGAAACCGACTGCCGACGTTTTTAAAAAACTAAATACTTGATTATTGAATAGTACATATCTTATAATCTTATCTTTTCACTATTTTCACTAAAAATAGTGCGCGGTTTTAACCCTTATAAATGTACGGTAATTTGTTATACAATGACCGATAAACTGTGCGGTTTTTGGCTATCGACCTTTTTAGGGTTAACATCAAAAGTGTGCGGTTTTTGGATGCAACCACCTACTTGTAGTACCTACTTACCTAAATTTTAGGATGTCTTAGTTTTGTCTTTTTTCCCTTTACACGGGTGGTATCTAATACGTACCTATTTATGATTTATCGTTTCGATATTATGCGGTATCCGTTTTTAAATCAAATCTCGTTTACACTGTCCGTGCGTTGTGATCATTGTTATTATATTATACAACTAATTACATTCATTATTGTTGTTATTGCAGTTTATAATTAATCAATTCACTAACCCGTCGGGTGTGTGTATATATCTGAGACTTTAGCGATCGCCTATCCCCGTTATATTATTATATATACACTAATATTAATCCAGTGTCAAATACTACGTTTAGACGATATTATAATTATTATTGTATACTGGTAGGGATAGTAATAATTAGTTATGCGATTTTTACATTTTTTAAAAATTATAATGAAAATTAATAGGAATATTTGATTTTAATAACCTATATAATATAATATTAGTTATATGTATAAAAGCAATTTTTTGAAAACGATGGTTAGACCATTGTAGTTTGTGTCTTCCGATATATATGTATAATATATATAATATGTAATTGATATTGTGATAAACAACATTTGTCTTCCAGGGCTTGTAAGCTCATATTACCAAGCAATTTATCCTTGAAATTGAAATATTTTGATGACAAGAATGTTTGGTGGTTAAAATGTTAAATTATCGTTTTAATAATAAATGTAATGTTTATATTATATTAACTAAGTACAACCGTTTATATATCATTGATATTGTAACATTAAAATATTGTGCTATTTGTAGCAATTTATTGTCTTCCATTAAAAAAAAAACGATTCGAAATGTTGTTGATGTTTGGTTTTCAAATGGTTCTGACCGAATAATATTAATCCATTTGGATCCCAGACATCTTTATACTGCATATAAGAAACGTTTATATAATATATTAGCGCTTAATTGTTAAATAATGTCAATTGCAAGTCTTCCAAAAAAAAAAAAAAAAAAACCACCTATAGTAATAGTCAAAATAATTATATCCACGTTATCATTATATTACATTGTCATAATTTATAATTATATTAATATACTTATATTATTTGTAAACATTTACTTACATAATATAATATTTTGAAAAGTTATGGCATTACTATTATTATTATACAAAACTAAACAGTTTTTTTTTTTTTTTTATATATAAGAATAAGTAGGTAGTTTTAATTAAAACAATTGTTTTATATTATTCATATGTTTATAATAATTATTAATTATCGAAAAGAAAAATGTGAATTACATACACTTAAAAATATTGTTAGTAGCTTGTTTATCGAGAAATCGTTTCATCATATTATGATAATTTGTAATAATAATAATAATAATATATTCACTTTTAAATACCTACTTAAAGTATATTCAATTAATTTATTATACTCTTTGTTATGTTTAAGTATAAGTAAAAATTATATACAACACGAGCATTATTTTGTTTTATCTAAGACTGCTATTGTCTTCCATAATTTATACCATAACTATTGATTATTATTGTATACTCTTTCAGTATATTATTTAACAAAATACATTTAATCTTAAAAAGTGATGTTTTTATTTTTTTAATCAAACATTAACAGGTACTTTACTTACATTAATTATGCTGGCAGTTAGTATACACATATTTTATTATACAGTTTAGTTGAACACAATTATTTTAATCACAATAATATTTAGGGATAATTTTATTTCTGTAATTGTTTAGTTTAATATTACAGTTATAATGTTTGATACTAATGTACTTAAATCATAATATTATATTGATAAACATATAGAACATAAAACTCACAGTAAATAAGACAGTAATTTCAATATAAATAATTTTCTATTTTTTCTTCTCTATATACACATCTTCTAACAAAAATTTTTGAAATAATAATTTTTATGAAACTATAAAATAACAGTTTCTAATGGAAATTAGAGTTGTACTATTTAACTAAGTTGCTTATTTGTTATAAGGTTTTTTTTCTTTTGTATATTAATAATATGTTACATATTTACTCAAAACTTTTATATTATTTATTTACTTAATTATTTCAATTTTAATAAAAAAGTAATTAATTTTATGATTTATAATAGGAATTTGTTTCAGATTGGTGTGTATGATTAATCATATTTAAAAGCTCTTATTCGTTATACTATACCATTAAATATTTAATGTAATGTATTAAAGATTTAATGGATAAAAATTAAACTTTTACAGCATTGACCTAATTATAAAGTAGTTTTATGTTCTTTTATTGTATACTAAAATCTTATTGGATAACTAATTTGCTGTACATAGAATTATCAACAGAAAAAAAAAAGACTAACAATTAGACCATACAATTGTGTAGTTATTATGAATTATAAATAACACAACAAAATTCACATTACAGTAATACAACATTACATATTTTATTAATTTTAAACACATACTTATACAGAGATAAGTTGCTAATATCCAGTAAAATAGTAATCCAAATTATTTTCACAGAAGTAAATATTTTAAGAAAAGTCATTGGTAGATAATTAAAAAATATTTAATTTCCAAACTGTAGATTGAAAATGAATGAGTTTTAAATACTTTAAACAAGCAATGCTGGTGCATTTTTTTTCCCAGGCCACGCTTCTTTTGCATATTTTTTCTTTTTAGGCTCAGTTGAAACGGGTTCAACTTTTTCAGACACAACTGGATTGGGAGTTGCTATTTCTTCTATACTAGGGTTAATATCAACATCTGGTGCAGGGTTTGGTAAATTCATACCAAGACGATTGCCAATGGAGGATAAAAAACTATGTTGCTTATTGTCACCATCAGGACCTAGTAAGTAAGGTTTTATAAAACAAATTATAATTAAGTTGTTATGATAAATATCTCATTAAATTTAATTTAAGAAAAAATAGATTAATTCTAACCAGGAATATCACTATAAAGTGAATTGTGTAAATGTGCACCAGGAATCATATTTTTCATGTAGTTTTTATTTTGGCCATTAGCACTATTTTGGTCAACCGCAAAACCCATTCCATCTTTGAATTTCTATAAAATATAAAAAATATAAATGTGTGTATGGTAACATTAAAATATTTAATAAAATGTTTACTTTATTAGGTATGACAGTAGTCCTTATTAGGTTTCTGAAACGACCAACTGATGGATCAATATCTTCTGGATTGATTATCTGCTCATCTTCATTAAAATGAACTCCTCTTGTACGTTTTCGTTTTGTTTTTAATGCATCATCTGATATACCAAGCATCGATATGCGTCGATTTTGAGCCGTATTAAATTCGGTTAAATTCTGTAATACAAATGTTAAGATACTCATGGAATTAAAATTAAAATTTTATAAACATACATCAAGCTCAAGATCAGTTTCTGGCAGTCCTAATAAACTAGATGCATGATCAGATTCTCTCTCTAACTGGTCCATAATCGGACGAGGCCCAAAAGCTGATGTAGACTGGGGACGTTCCCGTATTATGTATGTTCGAGTAGATGCACCAAAATGGAATTGACTATTTATTGGTAATTGAGTGGGCTTATTAGCTTCGATTCTAATGCTTCCAATGTATGTACCATGAGCTAAATTAAATTGAAAATAAATAATGTAAATGATGATTAAGATTTATATTAACTGGCTGTCATTCAATAAGTATTCTTAATAGTTATTTTGAATATTTTTACATTGTGGCTTGGGCATACACATTTTGGGAAATATAGTAGATAAGTATACATGATAAATTTTTAATTAATTACATTTATGATCTTTAAAAACTATTAAAATAAATAAATTAAAACTTGAGTTGCATCAATTTGATAAGTAAACTATTTATTTATTTAATTGATTTTTCGAACATGTTAACTATAAAATAAATCTATATTTAAACGAAAGTAGAATAATAAAAATATTAATAACATATTGAATGACAATGCCATCGTAATTCCAACTTACTAGATCCAAGATCAACTAAAAACGCTCTATTTAAATGTTTGTGATAGACAAATGCAGCATGAACTCTTGAGCATGATTGATGATCAATACAAAAGTCACTCATTTGTGCATTGCGTCCAAATAAGTAACACTTTTTCTGGTCCAACATTAATTTCTGAACAAAGTGTCAATATTTTAATAAAGTTTTAATCAATCGTATTATGTTATAAACACAATTAAACTTACTTGAATTAATTTATCTCCTTTTAATACATCCAAGTGTAAACCCACGGGAGGTTTACCGGCCCTTAAAATAAATAAATAAATTACATTTCATATTTATCCACGTAATGGAACAATTAAATACTATTATAATTGTTATCCATTCTTAAAGATAAAAGTTGTGTGTATAAACAATCCTCACCAATTTGGAACATCATAATGATTGGCCATTATAAGTTATTATAAATAATTTTATATTTCGAGTAAAACGAACATGATTACATGACAGATTATCGGGAATAAGTCTAAAATAAAATCTAAATATTTGTCATGTGTATAATAATTGTAAGTGAAATTAAAATGTAAAAATGCTATAAAACCATGATAATTTATCGTACACAAATTTTATTATACTTAATGAAAACTAAGTAATTATGATCAAGATCAACTAATAAACTAAATAAACTAACGCAGTTGTATTCCGAAGCCGATCGCTTTTTCTTATCAATTAGGTATCTTATCACGGGTGTAAGGTATAAACAATTTATAAAATATAGTTATGACCGTGGTAAATACCATAATATAACAATTTACCCGCGTATAAGTATTGAACCAGAAAGTAATTTTTTAAACGTAATAACGAGGAAGTAACAACATAGGTAGCTTAACGATTATTTAAAAAAAAAAAAATTAAAAATGATGATATGGTATATTTTATTAAATAATTTATAACTTCTGCCGATCTGATCAAAAACCAATTAAATGAAATAAACGAATAGCATTTGATGTATTTTTAAATTGTTTTGGTATAGATACTTCACAAATCATTTTTTTACAAGCGGATTTATCAGATTCGTCGTAATTTGTATTTAATATTATTACCTACTTATTTGATATTTTATAATAATTTATAGATAACTGTTAAAAACATTTAGTTGTCATACATTTTTTTTTTTTTTGATTTAAACGAACAAAAATAACCAATAGATATATTTGTTTGATCGAAAGGACGTAAAAGTAAAACATATATGTTTCTATGATTTATTAAAATGTACATATATATTATTGGATTTATTTTGATATTCTTAATTGGTTTTATATTATCCTGTGAATAACTTTTTCGGACAAAACACACGTGTTCCTGCTAAACTATAGTTTTAATAGTGTTATATTTATCGATAGGAAACCTGGTCTGGTCAGGAATTTATATCAGAAATCTTTTTTTCTCGGCAATTATATCCTAACAAAAAATAAAAAACTCACTGTGCAAAGATTCGATATTTCAACGCATGTGCAGAGGCTTTAGCCGAGCTCAGCTTAGAATCATATTTATCGTAAGTCGTGATTTATTATTATTTTTAAATTTAGCATAAAAATACACACCACAACTGCGCTAACTTTCATCGAAAATTTTCCGAACCTATAAGTACGTATATGTATTAGTTGGACAATATGGTTGATTTCCTGTGACTAATTGTTGAACTTTCAACCGATTATTTTAATTATTTACAACTTTATTAAAATTTATTTCTGAAAACCTATTATTATTATTATTATTTATATAGTTTATTTGTTTATTATTAATTTCATTATTGGAAAATTTGTGAAAAATTGAAATTAAAATTTTTTTATGAAACTATAAATTGTTGCGCTATTAATTGACCACTATCTATTGATAATATACCGGATTTGTGGGGTAGCATTATATTTATATCGATTACCTCTTCATTTTTCAATAGACTTTTATAAATATATTTAATATTATTGATAGCTAATTTAAAGACATATGCCTATTCATTGAGTTTGAAAAAGTTTATTCTACGAATAAATTAACAAATTACCATAAAAATTGACCTAAGATAGTTTATAAAATAATTTATATAATTTATATAATTTTTTATTGCAATTTAATTGTTTTTTTTTTTTTTTACACTGATATTAATTAAAAGTTAAATTTAATGAAATGGGATTTAGATAGGTATTTGAGAAGATTATTTCAATGACAATCATAATTGTTATAGTTAATTATTAAATTTAAATTAACAAATTCTGTGGTGTCAATGTCAATTCATGATCAGGGTGCAGTTTATTTTGAATTTAAATTATAAAAATGTCTTAAATTATATTTTGAAGCTTGAGACAATGAGATCAAAAGTTGTTAATTTAAAATAATCATGTGCGTTGAAAAGAAAAATATGGCATTAAAAAAATAATTTGGAAATGTACTGATTACAAGCAGTTCAATTGTTGTAGTTGCGTTCACACACAAGGCGCATTGTAATTAAACATAATATTGAGCATAACTGTATATCTGAAATATCTAAATTAAAATGTATAGAATACGAAGGATAATACGATGATACGAAGGAAATGGCAAAAACATTTCAATTAAATACTTATGCTGTCATTGGTTCAATTACATTAAAAGTAAATTCATAATAATTTTATTTAATCTAATTTACACAATACAACACAATTATACTCTATATTCTAGTACGCAATTGAGTATACATCTTCTATATTATTATAATTATTTTATATTCAGGTTGATGTCACAGTTACAGGCGCATTACTTCCTATAAATTAATTAAAGATAAGTGAGAACAGTACAATGAACAAGATAAATTGAAAGTTCTCCTCCTCAAAATATTACGACATTAAAAGATCTCACAATTCTAGATGAGTATAAAAATACTATGAATGGTGAACTATTTTTATTAGATAACAGTTTTTTTTAAAAAAAGTTGAAAAAAATGAATATGAATATTTTTAACTGTAAAAAATTAAAATTTATTATTAGAAAGTGTACACTGGCTGATTGACGGGATATTTTTCTGTGGCCTCAGTATTTTCATCCAATTATTCACAATTCACTACAGTTTATTATACATTTAATACATGTTAGGTAGGTGTTTCGAGCGTTTGACGATAAATGATTAACTTTCTACATCTATTAGTTCTATTGTCATTATTGTTGTAAAGTTTTTAGATGATAACCTTAGTTGTATATAATATATTGTACGAAAATATTGTAACGACATTAAATTATTAATATGCAATCAGTAGTATCTTTTAATACCTATTCGATAAATATTAATTATTTTGTTAAATCCCAGCTGGAGTCGGCAGTCATCAATCCTTATCTGCTGATTGCTCGGTGTTCACCATTACTCGTCACTTCGTCAGTCGTCAGTCGTCAGCATACAACCAACACGTGCTGTAAATAAACTAAATAATTGAATTTAGAATATTTTTACCGGTCATTACTCGTTGAAATATCGTCATCGCCGCCTGTCGGTTATTCAACTATAATATTTCGATAATTACGAACAACGGATAAGTATTATACATTTGGTAAGTAGCGATTATTTTAAACGGTTATTTTGTTATGCACTATTATAATAATACTGGTTAATAAAATTGTACTGAATTAATAATACTTATAAGTTATAATTTACGAGAGTATGAAAACATTTAGAACGTAGACAAAACTATTAATATTTCTTAAATTATATGCAACATGGTCCATGGATAGTCATCGCTTACACTCTGTAATATTAATATATTTTTTTAACCTAATACAATTTTTAAGTTTTAATTATTTATTTTTTATTGTTTATTTTAACGAATTTTATAACGTATCATATGCTATTTATATTTTGATCTACTTTTGTTCATAAAAATCCGTACTAAGAAAATTACATTAAATATAGCGACAAAGCGTAAATTAATAAATAAAAAGCATTAAAATTACTGATTTAGTTTTACATTTTTACATAACAATTATTAGTCAATGGGATCGGGTTTGAAGGCAATACAATTAATAAAAAAGCATTTAAAATGTGAAAAAACGTAAAAAAGACATTTAATTTATATAAAAAAGCAATTCAAAAATATACTACAAAATTTAATATACTAACTAGTTGGTATTAAAAAAAAATTCACTACCATGTATTTAGATAAGCTATTATCAGTAAAACTTTGACGGTTTGGGCTCAAAATATTTTTTGTACATAAAAAATGATCTTTCTACGTCCACCGAAGTTATTGGGGCGTATTGTATACATAAATAATTATCTAAATTAAGAATATTACTTATTAAATTGTCATCACATGTTATTTCTCCATTATAATTGTTAACCTATTTTAAATAATTTTAAACATAACATTGACAATGTATTGTCTTTACAGTTTATCGATTTGTATCGTAGGAAAAAAAGCAAAAATACATTTATAAGTAAAAAAAAGGCAAAAGAAAAAATACACCCACTGTCTTAGATATTAAACGAAACACATTTTTATATAAAAATTATTTTTTTTTATTATAATTATTAAAAAAAAGGCCTTCAAATCCGAACCCTACTAGTCAATGTCATCTTTTAATATTTAAATTTATTTTGCTTTCAAACACAGTACTTGAATATCGTTTAATTGTTTTGATTTAGAAATCAAGTAATTATGTCCGAAACATTTAAGAAAAAATATAGTGGAGATCAAAATTGTAAGAATAAAAAAAAGAAATAGAGTTAAAAACGAGAAGTTAGCAAACACTTTTGAAAAGCGGTTTTCAACATTTACAACAGTGTCTCCCAGCTCATCATTAAAAAAATGGTGATTCTGTGAAAATCCTTAACGGTTTTGATAACGCAATAACAATTGACGAGTCTCTAGAGAGTCCCCTTTAAAAAAATGACAAGTTAAATAATTCAGAAACGTCGAATGATACAATCATGTAAATAAAACTTAACTAGATTATTTATAATTATCGAGATTAAGTGTGTCACCTGATAAAAATAAATCAAATATCACGGAACCATCCAGTAATTATTTAAGATTAACTATAAGCCAGAAAAGACTTTCAAATTTGGATATTTTATCTATAAAAAATTAAAATGCTGAAAAAATCGACTTTGAAGATGTCATCCACAAATTTGCGGTAATTAAATAGAGAAAAGTCCTTTCATGAAATTAAAAAATGCTTGTTTTTTACACAATTCTCTTTCATTTAAAACTATTTCATTTTTTTTTTTTTTTGTGCCAATAAAAATTTATTTTAAAATAAATATTCGTAAATATATGCTTCTCTAATGAAAATAAATCATAGTTTGAAATTTTCAAAGGTTAGGTTAGGTGACAATTTTTTTGATGAAAGGGAGAGGCACGTTTATACTTAAACTTGCCCTGAGCGTCAGAAGAGCTTACAGCTCTGGCGCACGTCTATGTCACTGAAT